GCTTTTTCCCAATTTTAGTTCTTGGTAGATTTTAGCAATTTTAACAAGTCTACAAGAACCCTACACATGCAATTCTAAATAAAGTAGCACCAGAAAGTAACGACTTTGCAAGTGATAGTAAGTAGAGGAATGGTTTGGAGATATGCAAACGCTATGGGGACTTGAAGATGTTTCCCATGGTTCCGATAGATGGTGTTATCATACATCCACGTTAATGAAGGCTTCAATCCACGAAGGATAACGACTGCGAGAGTCCATGTAGGGATCCACCCACAAAGTGTCCATGAAGAAGCAACCTTGCCTATTCCACCATGGCTTATGGCCAAGAAGGACTAGACTCACTCCGGTAGATCTTCGTGCCTAGGTGATATCTTTTCCCTTACAAACTCTTGGTTCACTCCACATGATTTGGAGGTTCCCAAGTGACACTTAACCAATCTAGCAGACACCACTCTTCAAAAGGTAATAGATGTTGTTGATGATGAACTCCTTGATCTTGTGCTTCAAAATACATTCTCCTCAACACTCAAATACTCTCTCAATGAGTTTGAGTATGTGGTAGGAGAGGGACTTGGGTGGAAAACAATTGATGTGGCTAAAGATCAAAGTTCTATGGTTGGAGTGGAATCCCTTTGGTCTCAACAAAAGGATATGGAGCTCTCTCTGAGAAATGGATATGGGAAGTGTATGCTTTGCTTTGGTCGCTCTCTGGGAGTTGGTGGAATGGGTGGGGTATATATATAGGCAACACCAAAAATCCAACTATTACACACTTTTGTGCACACTTCAGTGGGACTAGGTGAAACCACTCGGTGAACACGATCTATGCAAAAGGTTTGAACTTTAGGCTTTTCGGTGAAACCAGATGGAACCTTTCGATGAGACCGATTCAAGCTAACCTAAGCACTTTCCACACTTCGGTGTCACCAATTAAAACTGATTGGAAATTCCGAGTCAATTTCAATTGGTAACAGAAGGTTGGCAAGTGCTCTTCGGCGGGACCGAAGGGCCAACTCGGTGAGACTGAGATGCTAGGGTTTGGCAATGGCTATGTCAAGGGTATCTCGGTGGATCCAGATGAGTGTGTTTTGGTGGGACCGAGATGGACTTTAGGGTTTTGGACATAGTGGAATATGAGAGTGTGATTGAGGATTTTGTAGCAATATGTCTAAGCATTTGAGCAGTTAGACCATCATCAAAACTTAATCCCCTTTTGATAGTCTTGGAGTTTTGCCAATGTATGTACTTAGCATTTTGAGGGGTCCACATTGACTTCCAATTGTTGTACCTAGATTGAACTTTTCCAGAAATATTCTTTGAGTAGGCATTAGTTCAATGATGTATATGTTGTGATGAATTACCAAAACCATCTGGAGATTAGATGCACTTTCACCTGACAATGTCGAGCTTCCACTTTGCACCACCATTGGATACTCCCACCCATTGCTCGAGTTTGGCTCTAATATTTCTATAAGGTTAGGGTTTCGGCTAGCGGAGAGAGGAAAGGTAAAAGCGGAGCGAGGGTGAGATAAATGGGAGCTAGGGGTATTTTACTTAACTCTTGAGCTGATGTGGTGTGCCGACTAGAGTAGGCGATCTGGTCAAATGACAACATGCCATCTAGTTGGGTCGAAACGAGCCTTAGACCAAGTCGAGGGGGAGGGTAATTTGTGTGGTTCCAGCAGTTCAAGGGTTCAGTCGAACCAATTTGGTATTTGAGGATTGTAGATTAAACAACACAAGAGTTCGGGCTTGAAATTTTGTAGGGCAAAGTATACAATTGTTTTATGAAGGGAAATGGTGAGCATATCTAGCCATGAAAGAAATAGCTAGCAAACAAGCATTCCCAACGTTTTGAGGGAAAAATACCGTTTGCTACTATACCTAAGTAAACTAAAATAGGCATTAACACATACA